CAAAGGGAACAACTTGGGGGCGGGGGAGGGGGGGGGAGGGGGGGCGCTCGGGAGTGGGTGGTCCTCACCTGCACAAAATCAAGGGATGTTGGATTCGTTCAGATGTCTCTAAAAATATCACTTTTGCTAGTTAATTGTCCCATTCTAAATATATCTTATTAATTATTCTAGGATACCTAAATATGAGTTATATTAAATATAATAACGGAGTATAATCACTTCATGTATGTAGTATTTAAAGAGTGGATGTACATACCCCCGAGAGTATATAACCATTTTCCTATACGTAAGTGATTATATATGTAACATTGCTTGCACATGCACGCTAGATTTATAATTGTACATGATACTTGGTAAGTTAGTTTTGAATTTCTATGGTGACAATACTATATAGCCATATACTCATCAACCATAATAGTTTGCACTAGTATAGCATTCTCAAATTTCTCAGTAAAATGAAGCACATACGTGTTCACACCTGTACAGATAACCCAACCTGCACTATGAAATACCACTATACCTTTTCCCCAAACAGAATGTTCTAGCTGGTCCTTGACGACGGAGGCTACAATTTTTTGGTAGGAACTATGTATTTTTAAGAATAGAGTAAATTTTGCATCACTGCCACTATTATGTCTTTATATAGCAAGTACCAACTACTACTAGCAACATCTAGTTCCAAACATGTGTTATTCTAAACTTCGCTAACACAGACATGAAGTCATGGTAGGTCTTGTGAAATTTACTTGTACATATCCACTTAAGAAGCGCTCAAAGAACTACTTATTAATGAAAAAATGCTAACACAAAAAATTCGTTTCCAGAACAGTCAAATAAACTAAATCTACTTCCGGTGAAAAAGTAAATATTGGTTTGTGAGACCAGTCACTCAAATGGTACATGGTTCTAGACTCTTGTAACGAAATAGTGTTACTTCTGTGGTAATCTACAGAATTAAGTTGAAGCTGCTCACCACCCTTTAAAGAAGACATATGGAGCGTACAACTTGGCGACAAGCATCAAGAAATTGTAGCCGCGGTTCAGCTTATTGTAGTTCTTGGAAAATGAACCCCCAAATACACTCATCACATGCAACGTCTGTATATCACAAGATTTCCCAAGTCATTACATAATTCACAGTATGAACATATTTATTTCATCATTCATAAGTAAATATCTATTTAAATGACTTGAATATGAACCTGTATTTCTTTCTTTCTGTCAAAACTTCTCTCTCTCTCTCTCTCATCTAGAATTCGAAATATTCTAAGTACCAATGCATATTGTGTGAACTAAAGCAAAATAAAGGGAGGGTTTAAATGGAGGGTTCTCAGAGATTGACCATGTAGTTTGTAGCTATTATTGTTGACGTCTGCATAGTCACATAGATTGAAAGTACATATGAATTGGAAAGAAAAATTTACATACCTCTAATGCTATCTTATACCGTAGGATCATGTATAAATGGAAATGTGTGTATTTCTTGAAAAGGAGCACCCTTTTATTCTTGACAATCCTCCCACCGTTGGATACACGAGGATTTGCATGAAAGTACTCATAAAGTGATTCCTCTGTAATAGAATAGTTCAGAGGATTCCGATGGCCTGAGGTCACATGGTAAATTGCTTGACCTCCGTGCTGGTCCCAATGAATGGCCATGGAAACCATCATTGCATTAATCACCAAGTCTCCGGGTATCTGCAAATATTGTAGTTTTGAAATTAAATTCAAACCTAGAACTACAAGAATACCCCATAAATTTATATGCTACTTAATTACATGAGTGAAATGTATAAACTACATACGCGTTAATAGTACACTAAAAATCCCCAATTATATGAGGAATAACCTCTAGGCACCCTATTTGACGTAGTTGCCAAAATACATGCCTCTATATATGGTTACCCAACTTTTGATATGTGTATGCATGTTTTGGATTCGTCTTTGTGCAATACCCACCATATCACTTATGACATTATGGTCGGCGATGAAACATGGAAGTTTTTGGTCATTGTAGGCAACATACAACATATCAATTGTCCTGCAACCAATGTGACACAATCTATTAACACGTACATACAATAAGTACTAATGTAGATGCATAAAAAGAGTTAGCATGAACGACAAACACTTCGATTTATTTATTTTACCTAGTCCCCTCTATCCATCCAGGCATTGGATCTTGGAAAGTGCTGAGTATGATGCTGGGGCGGACTATGACAACCGGAAGGTCTCGTCCTAAGTTAGCAAGCAACATCTCCCCTAAAGCCTTTGTGAGTGAGTACACGTTAGGCCAACCAAAGTGCCTAGCCCTTGAAAAATAATATTGTTACATCACGTTACTTATGTTAACTCTTGGTCACAAATGTTTATGGGAATTCATTCAAATGATATGTATATTTATGTTTCCAAACCTTTTCAACCCAAGTTCCTTCATTTTCTTCTTTTCTAACTTGTCATTAGAGGACTGCATCCTGAGTTTTGACTTGAAATTCTCAACTAGCTTTATCTCAGCTTGAATGTCCAAATTGTAACCTTTCCTTAGTGATTCACCTGATTTGAATGGTTTCTCCATTAACAAGCCTTCTTGATCACCGGCCACGAAAGCTACTCAAGACAGCAACAACAAGTACAACAACACTACTTTTTGTTAGTATGTGATGTTTCATCATATATATGCACACAACATCTACATTCCAACCATATGTTTCAGCACTTTCACAAAGATGAGCTAAGCAGCATGAGTTATGGACATTCTTACCAGTTGAAACATGAAGGAGCATTTTGAGATTACCACACTTGTTTGCTAAATGGCACACATGGGCGACCCCTAAGGCATTTGATGCCAAAGCAACATCATATCTGCACATGGAATATCCAACGATATGCTGATTCACAACTTATATGTTAGCCTTCTAAAACAATACATCAAATGGTGATATACAGAAATTTCCTATTGGCTATTTATTCATTAACACGATAAGTATATTGTTTGTTATTAGGTTTGTCATATATGAGTTAATGTTCCTAGCATAGATAAACAAACCATATTTATAATTAAATGTATTTAAAATGAACCCTCGCAAAAAATGCATTGAAGATGACAAAGTTATGCACGACTGGAAAAAAGCACTAGACCGATATATAGATGAAGTTTTTATATTTGAAACTACAGGAGACTTACTTATGAGTATTTAGCAGAACTTATTATACTAGTTTTGTCCTAAGAAGTTGGTACTCTAAATCGGGTGTCCATGTCAGTTGATTAAGAAATAAATGTTTCTCAATGCACTAGTATTATAAGCACCTCTCGTAGAAGCTAGTAGTTGCAGCTACACTGACAATGACATCAATTTCCTTGGATATCTGCTCAATCGTAGAGCTTGGGAGTGCACAATTTTCGCACACCATGTCTCCAGCTAAAGGGAAAATTTTGTCTTTCATCAAAGAGTTGAAATCAGCTCCGTGCTTGCTTCGCAGAACATCAAAGAGTTCTGTTCCAACAACCTACACAAAATAGTATAAGAAAAGCTAAGTTAGAAAGATACTTGAAGTCCACAAATAATTTAATACAGATTCACTTCTTTTAACATCCATAGTGAGGACTGGACCACACATTCAAAAATGGCACTGGCGGGGAAACAACAATGTGACCGTCAACCTTTCACTAGCTACACTTGCATCCTGAAGAAGTAAACACCACAGAAGACAAGGCGATTCATGCTCTTTCAGATTACCCGAGGAACAACATGATGAGAGTGCGCCATTGTTGAACAGAGGCACTTGAATGGACATCGTGAAGTGAGAGGACTGAGTCAGCTTGAAGAGGCATGGTGCAACGAGCGGAGACAATTACAGGCAGACATATATTACAAAGGTTCTACATGGCTTGCTATAGCTGGGAGGAAATTTGTGGCACGCATGCGTGGGGACACCGACCCCATTTTTCTTCCATATATTACAAAGGCTCTACATAGCTTGCTATAGCTGGGAGGGAATTTGTGGCACGCATGCATGGGGGCACCGACCCCATTTTTATTTTAGCTTTCAATTTTCAACCTTCCGTATCTTTTAAATAGAAATCCAAATTAAGTTTCGATTTCATATTCCCGTTTCTCGTGATGAAGAATTTCAAATAAGACCGTTTTTAAATATGTTTTGGGGACTTTAAAGAACTTCGTTAAGCTTCATCTACTGAAACTTGATACAAAGAACGAAAAAAATCACAAATTACGGAAAGTAAAACTTAAGAACTTGGTGTGCCATGATGTGGAATCCAACAACTTTGCAGATCGCTAGGCAATCGTGTGGCCGGACAAGGCTGGGTAGGTGCATGCCCCTGCGAATTTCCGTGCTATAGCTGCGATAATTGACAGGGCGATGTTTCAGTAATTATATGGATAGCCACTAGCGCCATGTCTCCAAATAACTCTTCTATATAGTTGACATTGCTTTTTTCTAACATTATACTTGCGACAACTTGGTATTTCTGCATGCCCGGTCTTGAGATTTCGGGGGCACGGGGCGAAAGGAGAACATGGGGCCCTTCAAATAATATTCTTAGAGAATACTAACCCACTAACAATATATACAAAAAGAGTATTAGAGGTATGTGTTTTTCGACATTGTGTCATCTGGATGTGGGATGTGGCGTGCTCTTCTCTCGACGACTTGTCTCTCAACATTGCCTCGTGGGGCCAGTGATGTGGCGCCTCTGGTAAAATCATGCATACACCTAGTGCATAATCAGGAGCATCCTCATCATTGGCTCGACTAGTGCGGTCAAACCTAGTGCGGTCCACCAAGGGCCGCCTTCAGAAATTTGGGGCCCCAGTGCACAATGCAAAGACGAGGCCCCTGAATTTGAATAACTTATGTAACCAAAGTATACTCTTTCCTAAATATATAACTTAGATACTTGTTATTTCATAAATATTTGAAAATATATGAATACTAAAATGGCAGAGGGCCGGGCGAATGAATCTAAGGATTCAGGTAACAATATTTATGAAAGAATACTTGAAAATTTAAAATGTCACATGGTAAAAATGCTACTAAAATAAAATGTTTCACTTGAAATATAGGTTAATTATATAAAGCTGTTTTTTCTGAAAAACTATATGAAGTTCAGTAATAAAGCATAAAACTCGGAAGTATAGAAATATATATGATCAATGAGAGAAAATACGACACTAGTTCTCCATTGCCAACAAAAAATATAAACATTAACATACTAAATAGCCTTGTAACTTCTTTTCGCAAATAGTAATCTCTATTCTGGTACCAATACTGAATGGAAATCTAGCAGTCTAGCATGCCTAACAAGGGAGATGGGTGAGTGACTTTCCGTACCTTCTTGTTCCTCTATTCTTTTGAGGCAACAATTTTATCGGTAATTTTTCAACATAATTTGGGCGGCTGCGAGAGTCACCGGGCGGCTGGGCACCTGGCGGAGAGGCCAAGCCTCTTGAGGAAGCAAACCCGTGTCTCATGCGGAGGAAAAAAAACGAAAACACTTTTTTTGTTTCCTTGTGGAAGCAAATCCGCGCTTATTGCGGAAGGAAAAAACACATTATTTTTCTTTCTGCCTTTCACATCTGACTAAGAGATAGTATCTGATACAAAGGGCAAAACTATCATCTCATTTCTCTTAGTTAAGAGAGGACATATTTGTTTTTATTCCTCATTTATAGTCCAGATCTTCCCTTGATTCTATTGTTAGACTGGAGGCAGACATACCTCCGTGAGCACACGATGCTGGGCGGATGCGGCGTCTGGTGCGCGTACAAGAAGGTAGAGCTTCCTCACGTCCGGCTGGACCCTTAGTATCTTCTCCACCAGCACTACATTATCCCATGCATATACATTATTGCACACAAAGCTCTAAATATTTAGGAGTGGGTATACAGAAAATATTCGAAATTTTAAGGGGTCTAGTTGTCCGAAGTGGTAGATCCCTATTGTTTGTTTGGAAGATCCTCTCATATCTTTGATCTTTCTTCAAGCTTTTGGAGGATTTCTAGCATTTATGTCTATTCATGTTTCTGCTGTCATATATGCTTCTGTTTCTATTAAGATGCATCGACTTGATTCAACGTCTGAATTGATTAGTAAGCTAAGCCATGTGTGGACCAGTAATCAAACAACTAAGCCTAACTTTCTTTTTGCAACAATAATATGATATATAGGACTAGGACGTGACTGTCCAGCCCTATGCTCAATCCGCCACTAAATAAAGATCATTCTACTTAGAAAAAGAGGGAGAACAAGTGCATGAGTAGATTGGTACTCAAATGTACGTACATTTCCCAAGGAAGCCCGTCGAGCCAGTGATGACGATGCTCCTGTCCCGGAAACAGCCGATCACCGAAGCGGCGTCCATGGCTTCCTGGATGGCTGTAGATCAACGCTCCAATGCACGTTGCCTGCCTATAGCTGGATTAATCTTTGTGTGGGTGATCGCTGTTGGCTGGGTGCTAGCTATTTATAGGCGGGATAGCCATCCGCATGGTTGATATTCATTTCTTCCGGGGGGACGTGGCTGCTTTAT